TGATGACACTGGTAAGTATTTCATCGAATCTGCACATTCAATGTTATGGTTATGGTTTTTATGAACTACTATAACTCCACTAAGGGGAGGTTCTTCTTTTAGATATTGATCATTTTTCTTAGTATTTGCATTTACTTTTTTGATTTTGATATCAATTTCAGCTACACAGTATGTGTTTTTCCTTGATTTAATTTCTTTATTTAGTTTTGAATGTTGACATTGATATTTTCTATGTGCCACAAGCCTAAATAAAATACATTTGCAAGATATATATACACTTACTGTTAGTTAATGCTTATATTATTATTTATTAGCCCTCAAGACCTGACTCACTATTGATTGTGATATGAAAAAAATATATAATAGCTTAGTAAAGAAGCTAAGGGGGTTCCTAACAGACAAAGAAAAGAAAATACAAAAACTAGCAATAACATAATAATACAAGTAACAACAATACATACCCATTTCGTAATGTTACCAAAAAAAAAAATTTATTTTAACCCTAACTGTGTTGCTAACCCTAAATTTTTCTTAAACTGTTAGCTATTGATCGATAAATTTCGTAATGTTACCAAAAAAAAAAATTTATTTTAACCCTAACTGTGTTGCTAACCCTAAATTTTTCTTAAACTGTTAGCTATTGATCGATAAATTAAATTTCAAATCATAAAAATTTACTAAATTAAGATAATATCTTAACATTAAACAAACTAAACTTGTGATATAGGCTAGAACACCAAGGCAAATCTAAAGAAATGAAACAACAATAATAAAAAGTAGACATGCTTATAACATAATACCACCATTTTGGGATGATGATGGTAAAACTTAAGGAATGAAATGATAAAAATGGAGAAAAATATAAAAATTTAAATTTGCAAACAAAATAAAAACTAATACAAAATACATAATCCTTATATAACTAAAAATATTTAAAAATTTTTATTTAAATAGCTTCAATTTATTTTAATCAAACCTTGTTTATATTAAAGAAAGCCAAATAACCCCAAATCACTTTATTCAAATAAACCCCAAATCACTTTATTTAAAACCACAAATATTTAAAAGTTTATTTTCTGTTCTAACAAGGAAACATTGCTTTAACAAACTTATTATATGCCAATGTTATATTTCAAGACATTGTGTTAAATAGTCATGACAAATTTAAAACATCAGCAAATGACTTATAATGGTCGGTACTTATAATAGTATAACAAAATAGAAAAAATGATACCAGAAAACAAAATATCTCTTACTTCAATCAAGTAGAAATCCAATTATTTCCTGTTGACTAATGATTAATAAAGTAAATTTTAAATCATAAAAATTTACATAATTAAACCATGTTCCAACAGTAGAAAAACCAAAATTACAGAACTAAAAAATTGAAATAAAAAAATAACAATAATGGGTATAATACATCATTGTTTGTGTGAAATTTTTAAAATGATGTTCCTTGAAATGAATGTTATTTAAATTTAAAAAACAATATATTAAACTACCTTGAACACAGGACATAAAATTTGCCATGTAAGAAGCACTTTTTTTTTTGAGATAAACATTATCAACTGTTTGATCTTGAATTTAATTTATGGTCATTAAGTGTGCTAAACTGACAACATTTTAGCGTAAAGTTTGCTCAACTGTAACCAAGTGTTTAAATTATATATATATATATATATATATATATATATATATATATATATATATATATATATATATATATATATACATATATATATATATATATATATATATATATATATATATATATATATATATATATATATATATATATATTAAATATATATGAATTATGTTAGTGTATTCTACAAGAGAGCTCAACGTTGTTAAAGAACAGAGTAAAAATAAATAAGTAAAAACGCTTATCTAATTTTTTTTTTCCTTATATATATATAAATATATATATTTAATATATATATCTATGATATTTATATTAAATATATGTATCATATTTCGTGGTAAAAGATAAAATTGGTTAAAAATCCAACCTTGTAGGTTCATTCAGCTTGTATGACTTTAGCCATCTAGTGTGCGTTTTATGTCCATATTCTTCTACCCATTGGTTCGCTTCATCTTCTGATTTAATTGATGCTCGCAATTGAATAACATTTTTATCTTCAAAAATTAGCTTTGAATTAAATAAAATAGAGAATGTTGAATTCATTTTTTTTAGAATCACTACCGCTTTTGTTATTAAACAAGGTTTATTATTTTTTTTATTGCGCGAAAGTTTAAATTCCAATTTTGCAGATTTGCCTCTCTTTCAAAATAAGCGAATCAGATTGGCCGGTTTTGATGGCTATTCTGTGCTTATAGTGGGTTTGTAAAGTCGCAGTCGGAATCGCGTCATGATTTTTGCCGCGAACAGCTACCATTATAGTTGGGCGAAAACAAACTCTCATAACAATCCCTTTTTTTTATTAAATAGTAATAATATATTATTTAATTGATATTAGTGGTTGAATCCATAAAGTGATATTAGTTGAATTTAATTTGAGATTTTGTCTTTCGCTAAATTTAAAGAACAGTTTAAAATGCCCAAATATTGTTGTGCTTTTGAACGTACAAACAATCAAATAAAAAATCCAGATATCAAGTTTCACATTTTATCAATTTTTTTCAATTTAAGGCAAATTGGATGAAACCATTGATCACAAGGATCACAACCGACCATATGACTATCACTCTTTGTAGTTTTGCAAATGCAAAACACTCTTTCCTCTTGATCTAGTTGAAGAGATTAATCTGTGATTTCTATGCGATGTCGTTCATCAGTTTTATCTGTGATTTCTAACTTCTTTGTCATTAGTTCTGGTAAGATCACATGCTTCCAAAACTTTGTACTATATAAAATCATCTCATTAATAAAATCAAGATCCTGTTCAATTCGAAAAATTAAAAAATTAATTGGAGTCTAGAAAATAAAATCACAATAACACACTTCCAATATGAATATTTGAAGTTGTACCTGACTAAAGTATGGATAAGTTCTTTCTAATTTAAAGCTGCTAATGTATTTTTTTACATTAAAATTGTCATTGTTTGTTGATGAAGCTAATCCAATATCTTTAAGACTATATGGATTTTCACCTCAATGACTCCATACTTACAATATAAACAATGTACAACACCATTAAGAGCACACCCAACCATGGGTTTTCTCGAGAAACTACAGCTCCAAGATTTTTTACCTCCAAATCATTGTGAATCATGAAAGACAAAGTGATTCACTTATTTATAAGTCATCAGAGCAGACATTTACATACTCAGCCAAAGCAAATTCTCCTTTTTCTCTTCCCCTTAATAATGAAGGTACATTGTTTTGGCAAAAGTTTTGTTTTGTAAGTTTTCTAATCAAAGATTTTGGTGAATTTTGCACACATGCTTTCAAAACATCATTAATAACAGAGCCAGTTATTTGACCATATCTCTGCTCATGCCAAGAAATGGGCAATGACTGATTCTTAGTAATTTCTTCAAGGTATTCTTTTTGTTGAGTGATAATTGATATTGTATTGGTAAATTATATTGTCGTCTTGATATTGAACAGATGGCCATTCAGTTGGGTCATCTTTCCAAGTTTCTGCAGGGAATTAATATATACATTGATCAATTCCAAGAATTTCAAGTTTATTTTTGTAACATTCAGTGGCGCAAGGATCTAATTTTTCAAAGTATTCGTAAATAGACATTTTTTAAAACTCTTTAACTTACTTTATGTTCGATTTCTACTGCTTTCTTCTCTCAACTGTTCATTTGTTTTACCTTAACTAAGATGGTAACCATTTACACTATCAAAATTACGCAAGATCATGTGATATTCCAATTCCAAGAATTTATAAATATATATATATATATATATATATATATATATATATATATATATATATATATATAAATATATATATATATAAATATAAATATATATATATATATATATAAATATATATATATATATATATATATAATATATATATATATATATATATATATATATATATATATATATATATATATATATATATATATATATATATATATATATATATATATATATATATATATATATATATATATATATATATATATATATATATATGACTAAGATGGTTTTGTTGTTTTAAACGCACAAGTCAGACAACTTATGCTTTCAAAACAACAAAACTTATCGTCGTGTGAAAAACTTCCAGCATCTAGCCAAAGCCATAATATTTATAAGCATCTAATATTTTGTAATTATCTATAGCCCCTAAAGAAAATATTATATAAGGTGACCTTACGTACGCGTTTGGCGCGTACAGTAAGCATTTGACAGTAGTTTTGCGCGTTTGGGGTTTGTACGCGTTTGTGTACGCGTTTTTATATGTAAAAAAAGCAAATAAAATTCTTTCAAAAAATATTATTTGAAAGACTTTTAATAAATGAGTTTTCTAAAATATAGTTAATGAATTAAATTCCCGTAAACATTTTAAATCTAAATTTTTTTACTAAATGAATTAAATTCCTGTAAACATTAAAATAAAATGTTTTTAAACTTTCCTTTAGAGAAGAAAAAAAAATTATTTCAAAAGATTTTTCAAGTGCAACAAAGAAAATGAGCTTGTTTCACGAAAGTTTTGTTTGTCTAGTAAAGTATTTTTTTCCTAATTATTGTAAATAAGGCTTTCCGATTTGTTTTAATAAGAAGTTCATAAAAATTTAATAAGTGTTTACAAAAAGTTAATTTAAGGTTTTCATTACTATTTATACATCAAATTCAATCAATGAATAGAAAGAAGATAAGGTTAAACAAATTTAATGATAATTTAAAAATAATTTTTTTTTCTGAGATAAGCTCCTTAAATGTACTAATTGTCAAAGCCTATTTGACACGATCAAAGCATATGTGAACGATCTGCAGAAATATTAATATGAAAAATATTAGCCATTCAAGAAAGAACAATGGCATTCCGTACAATTAAAAACAACCATAGCTTTGAAAGTGCTGATTGTATATCTAAGCTAATTAAGAAAGTTTGTAATCCAAGATTTGCTTGTGCGCATACAAAATGTGAAGCAATAATTGTAAACATGTTCAAGAAATATTGTGAAACTAAGAAAATGCTTTATTAAATAAATCATATGTGTTAATTCTTTCTGATGCATCAAACCACAAGGACGTTACAATGTATCCAACTTTGGCTTGTTATTTTGATGTTTAAGAGGGAATGCAAATTCAGCTGATTAACATGGATTGTGTAAATGGAGAAACATCAGGTATTTTATCAGAAATT